TGCACTATGTTACTCTGTTTGTGTCGGGGGACCCGATCCTTGGGAATCCACTTCTGGATTGTTATTGTTGTCCTTCCAGTGCTGATGATCAGGGGAAACCTGGCAGAGTCCAACACTCACTAAAAAACTGCTCCAGGAAGTTTACACAGCTCAGGGGGTTGGGAAGCGCATCTGTAACCTGTCTTCCTTCTCTCACCCCAACCAATCACAGCAGATGGCCCCGCTCCTCCCTGAGCCTGGTTCTGCTGGAGGTTTCTTCCTGTTAAAAGGGAGTTTTTCCTTCCCACTGTCGCCAAAGTGCTTGCTCATAGGGGGTCATATGATTGTTGGGCTTTTCTCTGTATCTACTGTACAATATAAAGTGCCTTGAGGTGACTAATAATTCATAAAAAATTCACAATTCATTCATAATAAAAACTCCATCACCAAACTCACACATACAAACGATTCTATTCCCAAATAAAACATTAAAACTATACAATTTATACATGATCACACACTTGATTTGTCCATAACCAGTTTTTAACCTGTGCCAAGTTGAATGTCAAGCATTTTCTAATGGATTGAGGAAGACTGTTCCACAGATGGCCACCGTGGACAGAGAGGACGTTCTGCCCAAATGCTGTCCGTCTGTGGTGTATAAACAAGTCTCCTCGGGTTGTAGCTCGAGTGGTCCTGTCTGAGTTTTCTTTATGCCTAATGAACTGCTTTAGTGGTGGTGGAGCAAGGGAGTGTAAGACTTTATATATTCTTTTATTTATTTATTTTAAACAATGATTTATTGATTTTTTTTGGAACAACACAAACAGCAACAAATCAGCACAGCCAAATACAAATAAGAAAAAGAGAAGAAGAAAAACAAATACAGGTACATGAGTTACAGATATACATGTCTGGGTCAAAATATGTATAGGGTTTCATATTTGAAATCAAGGGGGAAAAAATTTTTAAAAAAAAGGGGGGGAGAGAGAAAAAAAGCGAATACAGACATTAATTATTGTGTTTAAAAACAAAATTTGATCCCCCTTTATGTAATAGCACAGCAAAGTCACGAGGTAGGTGATCAAGCAAAGGCCGCCACATCCTACAGAATGCATCACAATTGCCCTTTATGATGGCACTAAGGCGCTCCATTGGCAGCACCTTGAACATTTCTCTGTACCATTGTGTAACAGTGGGGCGCTGTCTCTGAATCCATTGAAACAGTACACATGATGGATACAGTTTGGTGTTTGCAAGGGTGAGTGTTTGTTCTTATATTGCTTTATCTTAAACACGCTAACAGTTAGCGGTAGCGGCTTTAACGTCAACAAACATGCCACATCCTTAGGACTTCGTTAGAGTGACAGTTGTTTGTTTCAAGGTAAACCATTCTCAGAGGTCTAACGAGACACCTCTGAAGACTTGGGTAATTGCAAAGGAGGATGGAGAAGTGATTGCAGCTCATTGCAATTGTGGATTCTCAGTGGAAGCTGCATTCGGGGTTCATGTCACTAGGCTCAAATCCGGGCTCTCAGCCGTCTGTTGCATATCCAAAATCGCCTCTGCACATCGATGCTGTTCTGCCTTAAGCTTCATTCTTTTCTCTCGTTTGAGAACTGATTCCGATCTGGGTTTTCGTTCGTAGCCGAGATTGACCGT